CCGAGACAATAAAATACTTAAATTACTGACATTCGTGACTTTATTACTCGACTTTAAAAAATCGCTGGGCAAAAATAAACTAGCGGATGATATTCAGCATAGTTTAAACTATAAAAGGAGCACAATTGTGGAAAAATGTTTTAGCAATTTCATAAATACTTTAAGAGAATCAGTAGAGAATCAGGAATCTATCATATGATGGCGACTGGTCAGACGTCTGTTCAGGCGGCTGATCAATTGAGAATCAGGAATCTATCAATAGAGAATCAGGAATCTATCATATGATGGCGACCGGTCAGACGTCTGTTCAGGCGGCTGATCAATTTTCTAGTAATTCTGCAACGTTAAATCACACAAAGTTTAAATCCTTACGCAAGAACGATAGATTAATAAAGAAGGATGATGGTCAGTTACTTTGGGTTGGCGATTTCGAAGAATTAAAACGCTTATCCAAGGAAGTTTTACATCTCCCTGCAAAATGGAGATCGTAGGGAGGCGATGCTAAATTATATTCTGACGAAAACCTCACGCTTAAACGGTTGGGATCGAGCAGGGAAAAGCTACTAGTTGTAAGGACAAAAATTCGTGTATTTCGAATATCCTGAAAGAGGAAACGTCGATGAAAACCGCCGAAAAGTCTGTTTGTACCTACGAACACGTCGCCACCATGGCATCAACCGAAGCCACCGGTAACTCGCAGCAACATGAAACATGTGATAAATGTAACTCTTGCATTAAAAAGGAAATAACTGAAATAAACACTATTATCAAATAATTGGCAATAGATCAACGTGAAAATGAATACGAAACCGGGAAAGGCTCATCTGAAACGAAAGACGCTATGAAAAATATGTCAACATTGAATTACAAAATGGCAGACGAAATTGAAACACTTAAAACAGTGATCGAACAAATTACCAGCGAGAATAATCAAATGAAAATCATTCTAGAAATGAAACAAACTGAATGGATTGAGGTAGAAAAAAATAAGACATCTATAGTACGATCAAGTCAACATCTGTAACATCAACATCGAAAAGTTATGCTGCAGTGGTCTCAAATAGTTTTGAAACCCTTGTAGACAAACATGTTACGAATGAATCGTCCAGTGATGATTCAACTGAAGCGTCTGTGGAAAGTTGCAACTTGACTTGCCCACCTCGGAACATGAGTTCTGATCATACAATGAATCAACAACCAAACAAGAATGAAAATAATGTGTACTCCTGTGATATGTACTCCTAATTGGTGACTCCATGGTAAAACACATTTGTCAAGAAAAACTATCCTATGCAGCGAAAGTCAAGATTACTTGCAAGTCGTATCGCAACCTCGTTCCCAGGCTCTTTGCTCTTGGGAAGCAAAGACCCTGGTCGAGGCTGGTCACGTGACCCCGCAGATTCTGCGTGGTAAATTGAATTTATCTCAGGGAGGGGTGGTAGAGGAGTCTGTTTGTTGCGTTTGGAAAATTGCAATTTTATGTGTTATAGTTTCGGATGATAAAAATGTAATTTGCAACAAGAAATCGTGAAAGGAACAGTTTTAAATTCGTATTCATCAAGACACAACTTCCTGCTATATCGAATGTCATCAATTATAAGTGTTGCGGTACATTTCAAGCGAGAAGCTGGATCATATTTCACTTCCAAGGACTCCACACGCGCCTGGCTTGCGAAGCTGAGCACGCATCGCCGTATAAACATATATGTCTTCCCAATTCTATACCGACTGATCGATCAAACGATACTAAATCAACGATATGGTTGTTTATGGTTGAAGTGTATCCTGTCCGATATTCAACAAAGCCAAAGGATTTATTCTATAATGGAAGATTTCCCAAACATCGCTAACTGTATGTAAACAATAGTGCTATCTTGTCTGTGAAAGCACAGGATTAATTAAAACCCGTTTTGGACTGTAAAATTCCTTTCATTTACATTGCTGAAACTCAACGATCAAGAATGATTATGTCGAAGACTCGAAGTATAGCTATCTGTCATCAGACGAACGTCAAGGCAAGACTCCACTGTGTGTTTCCGTGCGTGCGGTACATATATTAAACTTGAATAATGAATATTTAGGACGATATATGCACAGACACTGGTACTGTACTTCATAGTAAATTATTTCATATTTTGTGTACTACAGTAATTTACAGCAGGTACATTATAGACTTTATAAAGACCTTTCATTGCCATTGCCCATTCAGGGCTTTATATTTGAAGAATAACCCGACAGCTTCTTTCGACTTGTATAATGCTGCTGTGAGTCATCAATATTTAAATCAACTTTAAATAATCTTTATCGTATACTGTACAAATGACATTTTAGCAGTTTCACCAAACCATACTAGAGGCAAACAACCTATCTATCAATGGAAACTTTAAAAGTCTTAAAAGGCTTATTAATTAAAACTCATTAATTAAGTAATTCTATGAGCTGGACTTATATAGCTGAGCGCATAAATACAGTTTATGAATTATGTATATATATCCCTGATAAAACGTAGGGACACTTTATACCAGATATAATAAAAAATACTTTGCTAAACCTTTTCGGCTATCATTCCTTTGCATTCAAGGGGCGAGGGTGAATGGCTATATAATTCATATCGGAGATTCTGTGCAATCTGATTTTGGCTTCAACAAACAGATACTCGTGCAGACAAAAAAGGAAATGCACACAGTTGTCAATTGTCGTATAATTCTTTACTGTCGATCCCAAACAATTTTGTACGCCAACATTCCTTCCTACCTGGTGTTGAATATAAACGATGATAACCTTTGTAAAAAAATCTAGAGCACTATGTCTATAAACAGTTTTAGAATCAATAGAATGGACATTCAATGTCTATTTGGCTAGTGTCCAAATATGTAAAGTTTGCTGTAGGACCAGCAAGGCGCAGCGCCTACGACCTACACAGTCGCTTTTGAGACCTCTATTTAACAAAATTTATACCGTTTCCATATGACAACAATTCAATGGCACATTATAAGAATATTATACGTATCTGAACCAGAGCCAGATACATAAACATACGCGTGAAATGAAACTGCGCCCGAACCCCGAGACAATAAAAGGGAAAATATTTCCAAGTATATACAATCATACGTTTTCGTTGCTTGATTTTCTGACTTGTTTGTTGCTATAAGAATCTACAGTTTAACATGTTTGTATAATTTAAAAGCAAACAGAAACCAATTTAGCAAGTATTTTGAAGTATATATGATTCTCAAAGATGATTGTATAGAACGGTCACTCCTTGCAATGGAAGTGTGAGGTGCGGAAGTGGAAACATGTAATTTGATACTTTTCCATCCCCCTCTTAGGTCATCAATTTTCTATGGGTCACGTGACCAGCCCCGACCAGGGTCTTTGCTTCCCAAGAGCAAAGAGCCTGGGAACGAGGTTGGTCGTATCGAGGTGCGAGGATCAAAGAAGTACACAAGAATCTGCAAATAGGTTGTGGTGAAGAAAGAAAATCAAAGTTGCACAGCATCATTTTTCATGTGGGAACAAATGGCATAGTGTCTGATGATGTGAATACGTCAGTTAAAGAAATGGAAGAGGTCATTGTAGAAGCAAAGCTACACGCACATAATGTTGCCATATCAAGTGTGGTAAAGAGGTATGACAATAAGGTACCTAATTCACGGGTAGCTCACTCTAATAATTTAGTGCGTGATTTGTGCAAGACGCATAAAATAACATATATCGATAATGATAACATTGATAAATCCTACCTAAATACAGATCAAATCTTCACCTTAACTATAATGGTGATAAACCTCTTGGAAAATCACTATGTTCCTACCTACGATCGATGAAATCTGGAATGAGCTATACTCCAGATAGTCATTATTTTCGTCAAAGCAGACGATCAATGGGTCGCCCGAAGAACTGGATAACATGTTTTATCATACCTGGCTAACATTGCCAGAATGTTTCAACAGTAGATAACAGTTTTTCACTTCACAAAACAAGCATGAGTAGTGATTTATCCAATATATAAAATTAATTGTATACCAAAGCAGCGTGTATTTAAAATGGCATTTCTAAACATAGTAAGTTTGCCAAAACGATTTGATGAAATAAATTTCACTATGTCGAACAAATTATTTGACATATTTTCCTTTAGTGAAACCAGACTTGACTTAACAATAACTGATATGATAAATATAGATGGTTATGATGTTATTAGAAAAGATAGAGATCGAAATGGTGGCGGTGTCCTTCAAACTCCATAAATTATCAAACTAGACATGACCTAATACCACCAGATCTAGAAGCTATCCCTTGAAATATCCAAACCATATAGCCGACCACTTGTGGTTGTCTCAGTTTATAGACTGCCAGATGCATCAGATGATTTTTTACCAGTTTTGAAAATTTATAGCAAACTATTGATAATGAAAATAAAGAAATCTTTATCCTAGGTGATTTTAACTGTGACCTGCTTAAGCCCAATCCCAGCGACCCAACAAATAAATTAAATTAAGGTATCTTTTGGAAATTTATCAATTAACTCAATTAATTGATGAAGCAACGCGAATCACAGACACATCATCTACACTTATTGATGACTTTATTACAAATGAACCTGAAAAAAATTCTAATGTGGTGTGATTCATACTGGAATCAGTGACCACAGTCTCATTTATGCCATTAGGAAGATTAATACAAACCATAAGAATAAAGAAAATATTATTGAAATTAGGAATATGAAAAACTTCAATGAAAACAAGTTTTTGCATGATCCTAAACTCCAATCTTGGGAGAATGTCCACTTTTTTGCAGACAATCCCAACAGTATGTGGCAAATTTGGAAAGAGCTATTTTTACAGGTTCTAGATAAACATGCCCCTCTTCAAAGTAAAAAGATAAAATCTAAAAAGCTACCTTGGATTACTGATCATATAAAACAAATGATAAGCACAAGGGATAAATTGAAAAGAAAAGCAATCATAACAAAACTTGAGTCCCATTGGGAAAACTATAAAATGGCCAGGACAGAAACAAATACTCAGTTAAGAGTAGCCAAAAATGAGTATTACACCAATAAAATTTCTTGTGAGAGCCAGAATCCGAAAACTGCTTGGAAGACAATTAATAGCGGTTTAATTGGAAAGCAAAACAGATCTACTAAAGTGAATGAACTAAATATAGATAATGTAAAACTAACATACCCTGAAGACATAGCAAAGGGTTTCAATGATTACTTTGCAAATATTGGTTATATAATCAACTATGAGTATCTGTCGCTAAATAACCTCTCAGAACATCAGTTTGGTTTCCAAAAGTTTCAGTTGACTGCGTCAGCCTTACTTGATTGTACAAACGATTGGAATTTAAGCATGGATCGAAAATGGTTTAATTTGGCTGTATATTGATAGACTTAAAAAAGGCATTCGACACTGTTAACCACGACATCTTATTGGAAAAGCTATTACTATTTGGAATTACTGGCAGTGCGTTTCAACTCCTGAAATCATATTTACCCGATCGTACACAAAAATGTGAAATAAACGGCTCTACTTCTAAAGAAAATATTGTGAAATGCGGCGTACCCTAAGGCTCCATATTGGAACCATTATTCTTTCTGCTATATATTAACGATCTACCATCTTGTCTAAATGAAACTAGACCCCGGATGTTTGCTGACGACACAAATATTGCAGCATTTGGAAAGTGCATGAATGGTATTGAATCTGCAGTAAATTTGGATTTAGAAGGACTTCGAAAGTGGCTTATGCTTATGGCAAACAAACTGAGCTTAAACGAAGCGAAAACTGAATTTCAATTAATTGGCGCTATAAACATATGCTTAAAAAAGTTAGTGATTACCAGCCAGTAATTACTATTCTAGATAAACTAATAAAGCAACTTTTCCATGCAAAACTCTTGGAGTTACTGTTGACGAAAACCTTTCTTGGAAAAGTAACACTAAGAGTGCATGAAGTAAAATATCATCAGGGATATATGCTCTCAAACAAATTAAAAAGTTTGTTGATCAAAAAACACTCATATTGGTATACAATGCTTTGATCCAACCCTATTTCAGTTACTGTTGTGAAGTATGGGATGTATTTGGCGAAACCCAATGTAAACTTCTGCAAAAACTTCAAAACAGAGCAGCTCGCGTCATAGCAAGTGTACCGAACGATGTTGACCAGCAAACTGTATTGGATTTATTAGGATGGGAAACATTAAAAGAACAACGATTAAAAACGAAAGCGAAAACGATGTTTAAGATACTTCATAATATGAACCAAATTGCCTCAAAGATATATTTATTTTCAAAAATGAAATATTAAATCATAATCTTCGTGACAGCTCAACCACATTACGGTTGCGAAAGCCACGTTCGAACGGTTTGAAAAAGAGTTTCATGTATGTCCGAGCTTTCATATGGAACTCTTTGCCAGAAATTATTGGAGAAAGCAAAAAGCTATCAATTTTCGAAAGGAAAATTATTTCACATGTATGCATATATATTTCTTACTATACTTTTAACTTTTTTGTAAATTTACTTTTGTTCACACGCCCATTGTAGAAACCAGCTTTAGCTGACAATGTTAGCGTGGTTAAATAAAGTTTATCATCATCATCTTAGGAACGAAGTCGTAGATTTTATTAAGTCCTCATAGATTTTATTAAGTCGTTATTTTTCCAGCTGACACGAATTTTTAATAAAGAATTTTGTGTGGATAAATATATCGTACCACCTTAAGTCTTAAATTCAAACGATCGTGAGGGCAACTACTCCCACCTTCAATTAAAAAGAGTGATGAGGAACGAAGAAGGAACAAATTTAAAGGGTATGAGCAACAAAAAAATTTATTGTTTCATTTGAAAGAGCATGAAAAAATAAGCCGATTGGCCGTTTAATGCTCTATTCTATCTCATCTAGTTCCGAAATTATACTAAAAAATGGGCAAAATATAAATTGCTGATTCAGCACAACGTGTGATGTCATTAGTTGGGTAAGTATGTTGAATGAATACTAAACTGAAGCATAGCTCAGTTATTACGTGCCCAAATCAAATGAAATTTTGCATCCTGATTGTACATGATGAGACGCATTGAAAAACACTTCTAATTTTATTGCCAAAGTAACAATGTCGTTCCCAGGCCCCTTGCGCCAATTTTATAAAACAGCTTTATTCATGGTATATAAGAATAAAATAATATCAGAAGTATGTGTACCATACCTATGCATGCCAAAAGTTTACTTGCATGATAATAATTCAAAAATGACATATACATAGATAAATGCAACTAGTTATTCAAAATCAGTGTAAGGGGCCTGGGAACGACTGTGTTGCCTTGACAACAAAAGGAGAAGTATTTTCTCGTGCGTCTCATCATGTACTATCTGTATGCAAAATTTCATTTGATTTGAGCCAATAATAACTGAGCTATGCTTCAGTTTACTATTCAAATTGGTCAAACACGCCACGGAAGCTGATTAACTAATGGCATTTGAGTAATTAACGTTGTTTTATGAATAAATAATGATGTACAATGCATAAAACCCTAGTTTACAGGTTGTAACTGCTCTTTCTGTGCTGATCGCCAAGACAGAGAAGTGCAAGATAAAGAAATTTACAGACTTTACAGTATGGCTGAACGCCTGTTCCACCTCCTTGCACGTTTACAAGAAGCGGTACTTGCGAATTAATGCTGTTGCCCAACCGATTGATCTTGATTCCGCTCCGCCTCAGAATGAACCAGTTTCGCCGGTGAATGATCCAATTGAAAATGAACAGCTTCAGGCAACAAACTTGGACTTGGACGTGATTCTTTTATTCATATTGGTATTTGTCTGTATTGTAGCTTGTGTTTTGCGGGTCTAGTTAAGATTTTTGCCCTTTCGGTGTGGCGAAGTTATTTTCCGTTGTATAACCCATGCATGCATGGTTCACTCGTGGGCGGCTGATCGAAAAATACGGCCGCCTCTTTTCTGTGTGTGTTTAAGGATCGTTTACACTTGTGGTTTTAGTTACAGTTCTGTTGTATGTGATACGTTATATCTTCATTTGATGTGTATTTCGGTCATTGTGCGGGGTTATTTGCCGTCAAGTTCGCTTTCGTTTATTTAGTTCAGTTGAGATTGCGACGCATGAATGATTCCCGTTAATGTTCTACGCGAGCGGGTCGTGTATTTCGCAAGATTGATTTGTTGAAAAGAAAAATAGCTAGGCTATAGTGATTACCTTTCGCCTTTAATAAACAGGTTATTGGGTATTATTGTGTTTTCGTATGGTATGGTACGGGGGCGAATTGCACTGCATGATTGATTAACTCCGACATTTCGTAGTTTATTGCATTTGCTTGAGCGAAAGAGGACCACTGTGTTTGCCGTATGACCGAAGTGCATCTCGGAATACAAAATTGCTTGCTTGCGACCGAGCACAAATCCAACTATGGATTTAGCAGTTGCCAATGTGTTTGGCGTATGAAAGAAGTTCATCTCGCAATTGCATGATTGCTTGAGACCGAGCACGAGTAGCTACTTAATTTGGATTTTAACCAACGTTGCCAATGTGTTTGGCGTATGAGAGAGGTGCATCTCGCAATGAATGATTGCTTGAGACCGAGCACGGGTAGCTACTGAATTTGGATTTTAAACAACGTTGCCAATGGGTTTGGCGTATGAGACGTGCATCTCGCAATGCTAGATTGCTTGAGACCGGGCACGAGTAGCTGCTGAATTTGGATTTTAAACAAAGTTGCTAATGTGTTTGGCGTATGAAAGACGTGCATCTCGCAATGCTAGATTGCTTGAGACCCGGCACGAGTGGCTACTGAATTTGGATTTTAAACAAAGTTGCCAATGGGTTTGGCGTATGAGAGAAGTGCATCTCGTAATGCTAGATTGCTTGAGACCGAGCACGGGTAGCTACTGAATTTGGATTTTAAACGTTGCCAATGGGTTTGACGTATGAGAGAAGTGCATCTCGCAATGCCAGATTGCTTGAGACCGAGCACGAGTAGCCACTGAATTTGGATTTTAAACAAAGTTGCCAATGTGTTTGGCGTATGAGAGAGGTGCATCTCGCAATGCATGATTGCTTGAGACCGAGCACGGGTAGCTACTGAATTTGGATTTTAAACAACGTTGCCAATGGGTTTGGCGTGTGAGAGACGTGCATCTCGCAATGCTAGATTGCTTGAAACCGGGCACGAGTAGCTACTGAATTTGGATTTTAAACAAAGTTGCCAATGTGTTTGGCGTATGAGAGAAGTGCATCTCGCAATGCTAGATTGCTTCAGGGGCGGATCCAGGATTTTTCGTACGTTAGTCAAAGTTTTCGGATGTACAATCTAGTTTGTGGGTGGCGAATGCGCGAAGCACCTAGGGGGGTCTGTTCCCCAGGAATTTTTATATTTTTAAACCTCCGAAACGCAATTTGCATCACTCTGAAAGCAGCTTCAACAAAAAATTAACTTCATGAAATGGGAGATAATTATAGCAACTATCAGTCTGACTCTCACAACTCGCTCCTTAGGGAAAAGTAAAGGAGAAGTACTTGCAGAAATGTGATAATTGTGGAAGATGTTTCATTTTACCAAATTACGGGTTGCTATTATTATGTTTAACTAGCTCATGATAGTACTACACTCATTTTTGTTGCCTAATATATATATAGCCTTGTTGAGTCATTGATCACTTAGTAATCACTACAGTGTTATATTACTCAAATAAACATAAATAAAGTCTTAACATTCACCTATAAAACCTGACCTTTATATCCTATGTACACTGCATTAATGCATTTATATAGGTTATCCTCCATATTAACAGCCTTCTGAGTTCTGACGGACCTTCAACCGCAGAATTACTAATATGCAAATTTGTTGTGTAAATCAAAATTCATAGCTAAATCAAGATACGCGTATTCAAGTTACAATTTTACATATGCATGGAGCACATCGCTTATAGATATTGTTATGCTGTCTAAAACGAAATGAAATTTACATATCACATTAAGTTTACCTTATTGCACTTCAGAATAAAGATCTCCGCGCCAATACTTCTACTCAAACAATCGAACTGTAGTTCAGCTATTCGTGGCGCTTACGCCGCTTAGCGACTGCCCACTGAATGGAACTCTCCGATATTTAGCGTTGATTTTCCTCCCAAGATCAGCGCAACAGTCTTGTAAAACAGTTCAATCATTCACCGCAAATGCGGATTGAGCCGTTTCGTAAATACTACAAGGACTGGAGTCTGAAGCAGCAGACATTTCCGAATTTTCCGTAGATATCTTTAAATTGAATCTTTCGACAAAGCTACAACATGACACTTCGAATGAGCGCGCGCTCGGAAAGCCTTTACCACGCGTCAAATATTATTGATATTCCGACTAATGGAGCGCCCCTGACTTTTGTAAATCGGTCAGAACTCCCCCACAGATCAGTCAAAATCGCGAAAAAATGCTTGTTTCCTTGGCAATAAGCGTCTAGACCAATCAAAACACTGGATTTTGACTTTTTGACTGACCGACTTTGCGTATGTCAGCTGCTCATTGACTTGACTAAGCTCGTCGGCTCGGCCACTGTATGAAATTTGATCACTGGACTACAGTTCGATTAGAATGTTAATTGCTAGCGCTGTATGATAATAGATACTGGACTATTATAAGGTGTCGCTGCATGATAAAAAATAACTGGACTATTGGTCGAATATTTAAGACTTTAATTAAGTTTGCAATTTTTATGTTAGTCGCGTGACTGGTTTGACGACCCCTAGATCCGCCCCTACTGTCGCAGTGTGTGACGTCTGTTGCGCCGTTTGCCATTTGTTTTAGACTATTATTTGTATTCAATGATGTTTTATGGCCTTTGTATTTGGTGTTAGGTTTAGGTTTAATTCTGCGTATGACGCTTTGTTCAGAAGAACAATCGGCATCTCGAATAGCTTCGCCTTGATCATTGTATTGAATGTTAGTCGCTTCCTTAATTTCACATTTGTTTATGTGGGAAATTTTGTCTGTCTTATTTAGTTCTAGGGGATCAAGCGCAGGGTTCAACCACTCGTTTTGATCTTGATTGCTTTTTAAATTAACGCGTGATTGATTTGTATTTTCATCCAAGGCCGGGGGTTTTATAATCGATATTTCGACATTGTTTAACTGATTCAATGGAGGTTGTATTGGCGGCGAGGCAGTCTTACTCTCATTGTTCTCCGGGGAATTCTCATTCGTTGTTAATTTCTTTGGTAGGGGATTATCTAGTTTAGCTTCTAATGCATCAATTCTGCTTTGCATATTAGACAATTGGTCTCTGAGTTGATTGATCGATTCAGTGTTTTGGCTAGTATCTTTTTGGTTTATTGAGATACTGTTTGAAAGCTTAGATTGATTAATTACAACATCGAGTTTAACGCCTTCCAGATCCATAGACAAGTCATAATATTCAGAGCGAGATGAGTTTTCTAAGCGCCCTTGTTGAGACTAAGACTTGCCGTTAATTTTAAAGTTTATATATATTTATTATTAGCATGCATGACAAAATTACTCGATGCTGATTGGTTGAGAGGAGTACAATTATTTCATTAATTATTTATCTTCTGTAATCAGTGGCAAATACTGCAATTTCATTGGTTTACAGGAGTGCGATTTGAGCATTAATCGCACCTTTTCTGAGCTGTAATCGCACTCTTGTCTACAGCCAATGAAAATCAGTCTAGTATTTACACTAGCCAATCAGCACTCAGGATACAAACTTTGAATTTTATTTTCTTTATTGCTGTAAAAAATTTCAAAATGGAGGAATTCACAAATTTTGCCCTTTTAATTTTTAAATCAGCCCTCGAAAACCGTCAAAATTGAGGTCGGAAAAAAAATGCCGACCTAAATCTGACCTATCTCGGCATTTTTTAAAATCTGTTTCCATGTCTTGGAGCACTAGTAGCCTGCACTAGTAATCACGTATTTACGAATCATTGAAAAGTATAAATGTCACGAAGCCTTTTCTTTTAGAGTTTTACCTAAATTATATCATAAATATACCCGTTAATTCTTAAACCTTACACCAAAGTGCATCGAATTCTATAATCGCTGACTTTTTAACAACTATAAGAACCAAAAAGATTCTTACTTTGGCTGAATTAAGGTCGGCAAAACATTGCCGACATGGGAGGTTGATAGGTCGGCATTTTAATACTGAAGGTCGGCATTGCCGAATGCCGATCTCGTTTTCGAGGGTTGTTAAATTATATATTTTCTGACGAAAATGACCTACCTGTTCATCCAGCAGAAGACACCGAACTAGACACAATCCAATTCAGATGATTAATTGAACTAAAGAACTTCACTATTTTGAACACGTTATAAACATACAAACATGGCTTCCCAATTGTCATGTGGTTATACCGGAAATAATGCCCGGAAGTTAATAATATGTTAATTTGATTATATATGATAAATAATAATTCAAAATTGTACTATTTCACTAAGAATTGTCGTGACAAAAATTTAAAAATTATACTGAATTTCAACAAATTGTATTTTTCTGCTTTTCCCCCTTAAACAGTTTGATTACAGAAGATAAATAATTAATAAGTAATAGAACAAATTAAGTCGTACTATTAATGCCATAATCATACTCGTGATTAACAAATCAACCTCCCGCTACGCGGTCGGTTGATTTTGTAATCACTCGTATGATTATGGCATTAATAGCACTCCTATTCGTTCTATTACCATCATTAATTGTCTGCAGTACAATTAATGATTTTCCCAAAACAAACAAAATGGCGGAAAGGTATTTTAAAATGCGAAACGAAATTGCCCAATGCGAAATGAAATTACCGTGGAGGTACTAGATGAAAATACAAACAAAAGCACCAAATTTTGGTTGAAAGTCTGGCAGGACTGGACTTTGGCGAGATGATGTTGACATTGAGAAGTATCCAATTTTGTCATGCTAATAATAAACAAGTAATCATGCGATGTTGCTCGTACACTGCGGCTCGTTCAATTTTGGCAAAATTTCCAAACATCACTCGTACAATAATCCCTAATTGTACTCGCCATCGCATGATTACCTATGCTAATATATTGTAACCTCATCCCACAAGCGAAGTGTACATCAATTTTAACAGGTATAAAAGCGGGAGAAAAGCAAAGCTGAAACAAGGTCCGAATGGCAAGGGTTATCAATTGGAAATTCAGATTTAAAATGGTCACAATTTAGTACCCTAATAAAAAAACCTGACCTTGATTTTTTCTTTTGCCTTTCGGCGTGCTGATTTGTTTACCTTTGTAATTTTGAACATTTACACATCAAGGCAAACTCTTTAATATTTTGACCTTCTATGCATGACAAGGAGTCACTTGGTATTATTGAGCCAGTAGAAAGCCCAACATCTTGGGTGTCACGTATCGTCGTCGTCGTTGTAATAAACGTTTGACTTATTCATCAAAATTTACGACGATTTAAACGAAATATAACCTTAAATTTGTCTTTATTTTTAACCCTTGAAACCCTTCTTAAAACGAATACAAAACGTGACAACACACCACTTGCGCCCACAATCTATTAGAGTTAATGTTTTGAGGATACTTAATGTAAACTTAATGGAATGTAAACTTTACAAAGAGTTGGAAATGCATCAACTAGGTAGTAATCAGGATTCAACAAAATTCTCAGAGCTTCTATAGAAATGATGATTTATCCTTGTCCTTAGGTTCTTCAGCAGTTCCGTCGTCGCTTGATTCGCTGTCGGTTTCTTGCAAGCATTGATGCCCTTTGTAATGTTAAACAATACAATACAATACAATACAATACAATACAATACAATACAATACAATACAATACAATACAATACAATACAATACAATACAATACAATACAATACAATACAATACAATACAATACAATACAATACAATACAATACAGTACAATACAATACAATACAATACAATACAATACAATACAATACAATACAATACAATACAATACAATACAATACAATACAATACAATACAATACAATACAATACAATACAATACAATACAATACAATACAATGCAATACAATACAATACAATACAATACAATACAATACAATACAATACAATACAATACAATACAATACAATACAATACAATACAATACAATACAATACAATACAATACAATACAATACAATACAATACAATAAAGGTTTATTCACAATGAAACTGCAGCATGCAATTACAGTGAAAGAGGAAAAGGAAAATTTGAGGTTATCCCTATATTAAACTTTCTTAAATAAAATAATTGTTAAAAATTACTAATTAAAATTACAATTACAAATACCGTATTCACTCGTTTGAGCGCCGCGGCGCTCTTTAAATTTTCAGAGCTTCAGATGCGGCACTCATTCGGGGGCGGCGCTCAATCGGGGGCGGCGCTCTTTAAAAAATATTTTATTTGTGAATTATAACAAGAACTTTTAACAATAAAATAAACAAGTTTTAAATGTCTTTGTCACTAAATGTCGCCATTATGACGGCGGAAAGTTTTTACACTGTTTACAAGTTTACAAAATATCAATGTCACTGTCCTCTTCATGATTTGAGTCCAAGTGTTGCATCGTAACCATTGTTGGATATGCCTCCTCGACTTCAGAAGTCGTAAATTCGTCGCATTGAAAGGGATTCGATTATAAGCGCCGCATTTGAAAATAATTAGTGCGGCGCTCATTCAGGGGCGGCGCTCTTTAAGAAAATTTGATCTCAAATGCGGCGCTCATTCGGGGGCGGCGCTCAATCGGGGGTGGCGCTCAATCGAGTAAATACGGTATATGAATAAATTAGATCTTTAAATAGTCCTTCAGGGCATTTTTGAACGCTGAAAAGTTATTAGCCTCTAAAACGTATTTTGGCAAAGCGTTCCACAAGCCGATAGTCCTTACAAAAAAAGAGTATTTGTAACAGTTCACTCTACTTGCCTTAACACATAGTTTATACGCGTGATTTGCTCTAGTTGACTTTACTCTAGACCATTTAAAAAAGTCCGAGAAGTTTAGCTTGCATAGCCCAAAGACAATTTTGTAGCATTCAAGTAATGATAAATAATCCCTCCGTAAGGAAAGTGTTGTCCACCCCAGGATCTGGCATCTTTCTTCGTACGACATCTCACCTCTCTTTTGACGCAAAGCAAGCCTGGATGCTCGTCTTTGTACTTTCTCATTTGAATGAATGCCCTTAAAAAGATATGGGTTCCAAACAGATGTAGCATATTCAAGTGTGGGTCTGACAAGAGCAATATATAACATCGAGAAAACCTAATTCGTGTTTTCTGTACCAACTGATCGTTTAATAGTTCCTAGAATTTTGTTTGCTTTATTAACTGTGATACAAATATGTTTACTATATGTTAGGTCACGCGAAACAGTGACTCCAAGGTCTTTAAAGCTTTCTGTATCTTTCAAGATTGATGTTCCTAAAGTATAACTTGATTTTAGCGTATCATTGGAGTGGGTTAACCGCATAGTTTCGCACTTTTCCACGTTAAGTTTTAATTTCCATGTGTGTGCCCATTCATCGAGACTGTTTAAGTCGTTTTGCAAAATATGCGTGTCCAAGACAGGATCTTTTATTTCTCTATAAATTTTAGTGCCATCGGCATACAGTTTGGCTTTAGATAAAACACAGTCCGTTATATCATTAATGTATATTAAAAACAAAATTGGTCCAAGTATTGTACCTTGGGGAGTGCCTGAAGACACTGTTGACCATTCCGAAAACATCCCTCTAATTACAACACGTTGCTTCCTGCCTGTAATGAAATGCCTAAACCATGTCAATAAACTCCCGATACCATAACTTCTTAACTTCAAAATCAATCTTTCGTGCGGCACACTATCGAACGCCTTTGCGAGGTCAAGAAATATAACATCAGTGGGCACGCCGGAGTTCCTAGATCTTACCCAATCAACAGTTAATAGTTGTTGGGTTACTGTTGACTTGCCTTTCAAATAGGCAAACTGATTCTCACTCAAAATATTCATTCTATACCGGAAATCAAGAACTGTACTTCGAACAACTTTCTTTCCTATTTTGCATATAATCCCTGTAAGAGATATCTGACGATAGTTTTCTCTACTATTCTTCGAACCTTTTATAAAAATCGGTGTAATGTTGGCAGTTTTCCACTCTATAGGTAGCATGCCCATCGAGAATGACTTATTTAGCAAAAGTGAGATTGAAGGTGCCGGCTCTGTTGCACATACTTTAGAATACGTGCAGGGATATTGTCAGGTCCCCGGGACTTCTCTACCTTACGATTTAGAAGAAGCTTTTCTACTTCGTCAACAGAACAACGGATTTTCTCTAATCTCTCGTCCACAATATAGTCAAGCACTGGGATATTATCATAATTTTCAACCGTAAAAATAGAAGAAAAATACGAGTTCATGCTATCTGCAATAACTTGGTCGTCAGTGAAAACAGATTCTCCAACTTTCAGGGATATCAATTTATTTGTTCCTTTACACTTGGATTTCACAAAGTTCCAAAATGGTTTGGGATTGTTGTTGTTTGTCAAATCTTGAGCTAAATCGGTTATATACCTCCACCGAGCTTCATTGCACTTCCTTTTCAAATTGTTATTCATTTGACGATAACGAATCCAGGTACTTTCATTTTGGCTCCGTTTTGCTTTTTTATAAAGTAGCTTCTTCTTCCTACATAGACATATTAGCTCTTTATTAATCCACGGCGCATTTTGTCTTTTTTTCCCTTTTGTTTTCGGGATGCATTCATCTAGTGCTGCAAAAAACAGATCTTTCCATGAATTCCAATTCTCATCAATACTCTCTTTGAGTAATGCTAAGTTCCATGGAATTTGAGACAACGTTAATTTCAGTTGTAACCAATCAGCTTTTTTGTAACAATAAACATATTTTTTGGATTTAAGCTGGACATATGGTTGTTCAGTTAATAAAAACGTAATAATATTATGGTCTGAAAACTTTTCACCGACTGATAGGTTTTTTTATGCAATCAGATGAAGTTGATAGAACAAGATCAAGTATATTATGTTCCCTGGTGGGTTCAGTAACCAACTGAGTTAGAGAATTGTCTCGAATGGTATCCATTAATATTGAATATATCCATTAATTTTCTGAGTTATTTAAGGCAGTATTGTTCGACTATGAGAAATCAGGCAGGTTAAAATCCCCTAAAAGCACAAGGTCAGACGTAGACAGTTTGTCCAGATTAGTTCTAAGATCAATTAGTGGTTCGGTGTTTGAATCCGGTGGCCTATGGAAAACTCCTAACGTAGTTCTCCGATTATTCCAAAATACAATCTCAACAAACATCAGCTCTGAGCTACAGTAAATATTATCTCTGGGATAGATATTGATCGAGTTTAATACCGCAATTAGGACCCCACCGCCATGACGTCCATTTTTATTTCTGTCACGCATAAACACCGTATAATTATCAGGAAATATCTCTGCATCACCGATGCTACTGTCCAGGTGCGTCTCGGTTAAAACTATAATATTGTAAGAACCATTAGCTATTTCCAAGTCCAGCTTGTTTACTTTGTTAACTATACTTCTAGCATTTGTATAGAAAACAGCAAGGTCTATGCCCTTCCGGATTTCGTCATTCATAACGTAATGTGATTGAAGCTCTTGATAAAACTGTCTAAAATCCTAAGTTTCCTTATTTTTGTCCTGCCATTTGGCCTGTGATACCCATGGTCGTGCGTACACATTCTCCGGCCAAACATTTTGCAAAACCCGTTCGTAATCCCTACTATTAACATTAACGCGAATGGCCACAGTACCTTTTCTTTTACTTTTGAAAATCCTTATAACAGTTGGAGAAATACCTTTACGCTCCATATATTCAGTAACTAGCTCCGATGTCGCGCCCTCCCGAGCTCCACCAAGATACAATCCGAAAAGCAACCTATATCGGATTGGATTGGTTCTCTACCGTTAATAGATATACCCATCCAAGCGAAAAATAACCAATATATTAATGGAAATACCTCGAACAAGCCTCCTTTTCCCAAGCGCCATCGAATGAAACCACCACCCTATCGAACGGGCCATCGCCACCAATCCCTCGAATGGCTGAGCCATTTGGACTTTGTACACCAACTGTGCAAGAGGTAGGAAATGTAACAACTATTCCTACACGAATTACTGCACGGAATTACCAAAATCGCCATAGACCTTGTGGCTCTAACATACTAAATCTGAAAAACATTGTCATACACAAACCTAATGCCTGTATTACAAAGTCCTCAAAGTCACATTTACCTAATTTCTGCTGTATTAATGCCAGATCGCTGCTTCCAAAAATAGATGAACTCACCCTGTTTTTAAGTTGTCGCCAACCCAGTGTAGTGGCGGTCACTGAATCGTGGTTGAACAGTGACATCGAGGATGGACTCGTTTCGATAAACGGATATAACATTTTTCGTAAAGACCGTTCTAGCCGTCGTGGAGGAGGAATTTGTGTTTATCTACCACAGGGCACCTATGCCAAACGTAAGTTGGACCTGGAACATGAAAATTTAGAATTTTTGTGGCTGTGGCTTCGCCCTACCCGCCTTCCCAGACCGCTCACTGGTATTGCAGTGTGCATAGTCTATCACCCCCCTGGTTTACCTGTAGAAAACCACCGCCTACTTAATGAATACTTAGTTTTAACAATAGATTCATTACGCAACCAACATCCCAACTGTGGTCTAGTCCTTCTTGGTGATTTTAACGATTTCGATATATCGAATATATTATCAAGCCATAACCTGAAGCAAGTTGTCAAAGTCCCTACAAGAGGAACAGCCATTTTGGATCTGATAATTACGAACCAACCAAACCTGTATAAACCTCCCCAAGTTTTAGCGCCCTTAGGGTCCTCAGACCATAACATTGTAACATGGTCACCCAGTCTAGAGAATACCAATTCTCAAGAACGTACGAAATCTGTCAAACGTCGCATCCGGCGCTATCCAAGGTCTGGGGTTGAAGCTTTGGGGAGATGGATCGCTACACATGTCTGGTTTGGCGAGTTAGGGACTAATCAAACGGTAGACGATTTAACATCATCATTCTCATCGCACCTTACAGAAGCCATTAATCGTATATTCCCTCCTATAACTGTGAAGTGGCATCAAACCGATAAACCTTGGATAACCCCAGTATTAAAAAACTGATTAAAGACCGACAGAAAGCATTCCATAACCATAATATCCCCCTATGGAAATCTTTAAGATATAAAGTCCAAGAGGAGATTAAACAAAGAAAGAAATCATTTTATAAAAACAAAGTTCAGCATTTAAAAAACAGTGATAGTCGTAAGTGGTGGAAAATCATTAACAAAATGTCTGGCAAACCGGAAACAACAAAGCCTTTCACATTAGAACGCGATGGTGAAATCTTAAACAATTTACAAGCTTCCAATGCCCTTAACGAATTTTATACTTCCGTTAACGCTGATATTCCGCCATTAGATGTGAACTTATTACCACCGTTTTTACCATCAAATGAAAGCGTACCTGCAGTTGAATGTTACCAAGTCTGTAAGAAACTCCAAACTGTCCATTCTTTTAAAGCCCCCGGACCTGACAATATTTCACCTCGAATTTTAAAGGAGTATGCTCACTTGCTAGCTGAGCCGATCACCATTATTTTTAATACATCCCTTGCTTCAGGAGTTGTGCCGAGTAGTTGGAAGGAATCGAACATAGTCCCAATCCCTAAAACATGTAAACCGATTGCTGAAGCCGACACTAGACCTATATCACTAACATCGTGCTTGTCTAAAGTTTTAGAGGATTTCGTAGTATCTTGGGTGATTGAGGATGTAAAAGAAAAAATCGACCCCAGCCAATTTGGTTGCCTGACAGGGACATCCACCACTTTTTGCCTTCTGGATATGTTACATACTTGGCTTTCCCACCTTGACGGACTCGGTAATCATCTGCGTATTTGTTTTCTAGACTTCTCCAAGGCCTTCGACCGCATAGGTTATAATCTATTAATTGAGAAACTGATAAATTTGGGTGCTAGACGCTCATTAATCCCTTGGATCATCAACTTCCTCTCAAATCGAAGGCAGCGTGTTAAATTTGACGTAGCAACCTCCGACTGGCTTCCAGTGAATGCAGGTGTTCCTCAGGGGACAAAACTAGGTCCAATCTTGTTCCTAGTAATGGTCAATAACCTGCGAATCACTTCTCCCGACACTAGAATGTGGAAATACGTAGACGACGTTTCAACCTCTGAGAGTCTTAGCAGAAATTGCACCTCTATCACTCAAACAACCCTTAATTCAGTTCAGTTGTGGGCTTCCGATAATTGGATGAAACTTAATATCAAAAAATGCCAAGAGCTTCGTGTTAGTTTCCTTGGAGAAACCCCCCAATTAATGCCTCTGTTAATCGATGGACACCCAATTGAGACAGTGCGTTCACATAAAGTACTGGGACTTACGATCCAAAACAACCTGAAATGGGATGAACATATCCATGAAATAGTCTCGAAGGCATCCAAACGATTGCATATCCTCCGGGTGTTGCGCCGAAGTGGTGTTCCTCCTGCAGACCTTCTCACTGTGTATATTGCGTTAAAACGCTCAATCCTTGAATACTCTTGTGAAGTTTGGCACAACTCTGTCTCATGCTATTTATCTGACAAACTTGAAAAAATCCAAAAGCGAGCCTTGCGTATTGTATACCCTGAACAAACTTATAAAGATGCGTTGCTGTCGGCTGGTATCACCAAATTGGAGACTAGACGTGAAGATCTATGTTTGAAGACACTCACGAAGATAACCAGAGGTGGTCCGCTTACACAACACGTGACCCAGAGTAGATCGAACGAGCATAATTATTTTATTAGATCATTAAATAATTTATCAACTAATAAATGTCGAACTGATCGGTTTAAAAATAACTTCTTCCCAAATACAATTAATATTGCTAATAGTAAACAGTGACTGGTGAGATTTGATTTTAACTTTGTCCTAACAACCATTGTAAACAATCTTATATTATTATAGTATTTTAATGTAAGCACTTTGTACTTCACTTTATGTGCGAAATTGTGCTATTAAGCATCATCTTATCTTATCTTATATCCTAAGATATTGATATCCTAATATATTGATATCCTAAGATACTGTATGATATCCTAAGATACTGTATGATATCCTAAGATATTAATATCCTAATATATTGATATCCTAAGATATTGTATGATATCCTAAGATATTGATATCCTAAGATATTGATATCCTAAGTTGTTGTATGATATCCTAAGTTACTGTATGATATCCTAAGATACTGATATCCTAAGATATTATATGATATCCTAAGATATTGTATGATATCTTAAGATACTGTATGATATCCTAAGATACTGTATGATATCCTAAGATATTGTATGATATCCTAAGATACTGTATGATATCCTAAGATATTGTATGATATCCTAATATATTGGAAGATAAAATCTATTTTCGTTAATATATAAATATGTTATTTCCAACTAGCTAAGTCTTCATTCCGTTGCTGACCGCCGAACAGAGATGACTAGCAGTTATATCAAACACAGACTGTTTGTGGAGCTCTGGTGTATTTCTCATCCAATTCAACAGCAAGCTCTGTTGAATTCTGCATCTCATGAACAGATTCGCTTTCTATGTAATTGCTTGGAAAACTTTACATATCCTAAAGGAACATTGAACAAACATATATATGTCAAAATGGCGAACAGTTCTAATTTTGTGAGCTCTACAAAATTCCGTCAAAATATCCCGAAAATATGGAACGCTAAAGAAATTTGTAATCATATAGCTTCTTCCAACTTAGGTTACGATAGTAAACGAGTTAAATGGATTGGAACTTTTGATATATTGCAGAAATTTGTCGAATGCGAACTTAAATTGGATGGCAAATGGTCTTCGCCAGGTGGTTGTTCGAAAAAGTTTACGTGCTATAATCTAGATATATCAATAACTTGGTACCCCAAGAAACTAAATACACTCGTATTTCACGGTGAGGAAAGCTCGGGTTTGGTTGACGCGTTAATAAATGTGTGTGCAGAGGCAATCTCTAAAGACGACGGTTTATCAAACAACGTATGTGTGTCGGCCAAACATAGTTCGATTGCAACTATAAACTCAGCTGTTGATGAACCTGAACAGATGTCTAATCACTGTATTAAGGACTTTGAACTAACTGATAATCATCAAAAGGTCAGTATAGAGCATGATTTCAAACTTGGCTGTCAGCGTAGAATTTTAGCTGCTGATTTGGAGGGAGTTTAGCTCGATATAGCAATCCGATGTACAGGGACATAGAAAATAAGTTTTTTGCAGCTTACAATTCACGGGATAGTGATAGTGAACAAATAAGTGAACTTAAACACGAGCTTCTTAAGGAAAAGGAGAAATGTAGTCAGTTGGAGGCTGATATATCTATTTTGGTTCGAGGAAGGAATAGGGAGATAAACGAATTAAAAAATACCATTACCTCTAGGTGAACCATTTATTCCCGAAACAGTCAGCGTTGAAAGCCACCCTTGATAATTCATGTTTAATTGTCCAACCAGCAAGTTGTAATAGAACCAACAATATACTCGACAACAAAGGTGAAATTAACAAAGTGAAGTTAATGGAGCATAATATAAATAACGACAAAATCAGCAAAGCTAAGGTATCGCAAAGTTACTCTCGACGCAATCATAATTATCCCCCTTACTGTGAGCCATTGTCGCTGAAATCGCTTGGAAACTTGCCTCTTATCGAAATATCCAAGCCATTTATAACTCAGAAGAAGGAAACCTTTTTAGAAAACCCATCAAATATATTGAATGATAATACAACTGGTACTGAGACAGTTACTCAGCATGTGTGCATTGGCCAAATACCAGCTGATATCTCTGAATTTATTGTCTTAGACGGCGACGAATGCATGTCTGAGTGTGACAATACTAATAACTGTCCTTTTCGGCAGAGCTTTCTGGAGCGTCCCCCGCCCTTGCCTCATGTTCGAAGAGCGGAATGGTTGGCGCATTTAAATCTTGTTCGCCGGCTGACGGCAAAGTAAATTCTAAAGAAAATGAGAGAGAATCACATGAAAATTACAGTTCGATTCCCGTTGAACTTCTTGTTCAAAAAATTCCTGTGAAAATAACCCATCGCGTATCAAACTTTCAAAGAAAAATAAATGCAAAACCTAGACAATTAAGAACACTACAGCATTGTCCTGAACACATACAAATGGAAAATCAATCGTTTCCAGTACCTAAATCACTGTTTATTAATAATATTATTTGTAATCTTAAGAAAACGAAAAATCGAGTACAAGTTTCAGTGGCGTTAGAAGCGGATTTATGCGCTACAGATATTGACATACGTGTCGTGTCGGAAACCCATTTAAACAATAAAATTCCAGACTCCGTTGTTGCAATGGCATCATATAACCTATACCGTACAGATAGAGACTATAATGCAGATACACGAAAAAATGGAGGAATAGCAGTATATCTTCGACAGAACTTGGAAGAAATTCGTGTCATTCGGGAAACAGAATTTGAAATGATTAGTATTATACTTACTCTCCCAACGGGACATAAAATGTTAGTTATTGGAGCCTATCACCCTCCAAGATTTAGTTATGATGAAACAGATTTTTTGAATCGAATTGTGGAAGTTGTTGACGATTTTTTAGACATTAACCCAAATGGCTTAGTTCTCTTTGGTGGAGACATTAATCATCTAAACGTTAGTCAACTTTCCACAATGTCTGGCATGTTGCCTTTGGTAGACTTTCCCACCAGAGGGCAAGCAATTCTTGATAACTGTTTTACAAATAGACCGGAACTTTTCAATAAAGCATACCCATTGCATATACAAATGAAAACAGACCACTTGGGAGTCATAATTCCGGCAGGAATAAAATTAAAGCCCATCCGCACTAAAATCAGCTTTAGGGACTACAGAGCACAGAATAAAGTCAAATTTCAAAAGAAGCTTGCCGAGAAAAGTTGGTCTGAAGTTATGTCATTGGAAACAGTTGAAGAAGCAACTAAAGTATTGGAGAACACTATCCATAATATGATAGATCAATGTTTTCCAAAGAAAACAGTTACTCTTTCCACTCGTGACCCTCCATGGATGTCTCCACTCTTAAAGTATTTAATAAGAAAAAGATCAAAGGCTAAGTCAAGGAGAAAGCTATCTATTGCGGCAGAATTAACAGAACGAATATCTGGAATAATTTCACATAATCGAACAAAAATGGCAAAGTCCGAGTGTACTGGCACAAGTCAATGGTGGAAAAACGTTGACTTTTTGTCACATAGAAGAAATCGAACACATATTATACTTGACAACGAGTTCAAAGAAAACTTGAACGATTACTTTGGAGAGTTATGTTGGGATAGAGACTATGAACAGCCAACGTTGATGGAGATAGATTCAATCACAATAAAAGCTCCTCAGTTTAGCATAACCCAGGTCAAGAACGCTTTGTTGAAAATAAGGAAAACCGCAACAGGCCCTGATGAAATCCCATTTTGGGTATGGAAAGAAAACGCTGATGTATTTGCACCTGTTATGACCAAGATTTGGAATGAATCTCTCTCTACATCCACATGGCCTACCTCTTGGAAAATTGCTCATATAGACCCTCTACCAAAAGTTGAGAATCCAAAGGAATATTGTGAATTTAGAGGTATAAACGTCACACCTGTGATTGGACGATGTTTCGAAAGAACGGTTTATCATTATCATAGTAAAAGATCTTTCGAGGCTGAGTTATCATCTTCCCAGTTTGCTTATCGAATCGGTGGGTGTAGCACAGACGCCTTAATTAAATTACAGTATATGTACCTGAAAGAACTAGAAGAACCAAATTGTGATGCAGTGAGATTAATTGCAATGGACTTTTCCAAAGCATTTGACAATGTAAAACACGCAAAACTGAGTGAAAAATTGAAATCGAGTTCTATGAACCCTTATTTAGTAAATTGGTACTTAAATTTCTTAAAAGATCGAAGACAGAGAATAGTTTTCCAAGGAACGACATGCAAGTGGAAAGATATTAACAAGGGAGTTATGCAAGGAACTGTAACCGGACCACATTTCTTTAATTTATTTATTAATGATTTGGAGATTAAAAACTGTTCCAACACCCCCCTTGTTAAATTCGCGGATGATTCCTCACTTTTGGTACCGATTTTGAAGAATACCCAAGATTGTAGTTCTAAAGCCATAGATGAATTTAAGGACTGGTCCGAATCAAACTCTTTACCTTTAAATGAGGGTAAATGTAAAGAAATGATTATATTAAAGAAAGGACGATCAGAGGATTGTGTATCACCAATTTATGGTTTTGAACGGCACTCTAGTCTTGAAATACTGGGGCTAACCTTTGAAATGACAAGCAGATTTGAGAAATGTGTTAAGAAAAAGTTGGTGAAAGCAAATAAATGCTTGTTTGTAATTCGAAAGCTGAGGAATGAAGGATATAGTCAAGACGAATTAGATCTTCTTTTTAGGTCACTGGTCCTGTCACAACTTACCTATGGCTTATCAGTAATTGCTGCATCACCACCGGAGTTAACAACTATTCAAAACTTCTTAACTCGTTGTTATAAAAGAAGATACACATCAGAACAAATAGATATTAATATACTGTTAGAGCAGACAGATAGAAAGCTGTTTGAAAAGCTGTGTAAACAAAACAATCATCCGTTAAGAGAAATCTGTCCAAAAATTAAAGAATATACAGTAAAACTTAGAACACAAGAGGCACAGTGGCCAAAGATTTCTACCGAGCGTTTTAAAAATAGTTTCATCAATAGATGTATTTTTAGATATAATTTAGCTTTGCAACTCTAATATAACCTAAAAATTTTTTTAATGTTAAAAACTTGTAATATATTTTAAAATAATTTAAATTGTAACACTTGATATGTAATTTTATCAATTGATTATTAATAATAATAATAATAATAATAATAAGATTTATAAAAAAAAAAAAAAAAAAAAAATATTAGACGCATGTGCTAGGATTGTTCATTCGTTCATAAACACTGACAAGCAAGACGAGACATCCAGGATTAAAGAATAGTCGTAAGTCGTTAACGCAAGTTGAATCTAACCTTTAATATCCTTCTACATACGTCTAAACTTGACGTCTAAACTTGACGTCTAAACTTGACGTCTAAACTTGACGTCTAAACTTGACGTAAAACGAATGTTTTAACAATAATATCACTAAGATAAGTCCTTCGTGTAAGCTACAGTTCGCAAAAGTTCGCATAAGTTCAAGTTGGTATATTAAAACGTATTGTTTTTTTGTGGGGCCTGAGCACTAATATGCCCTTATACGGTTCGCAGTTACACATAGTGTTACACACTGTGACATGTTGTTACATAGCGTTACACACTGACATGTTGTTACATAGTGTTACACACTGTGACATGTTGTTACATAGTGTTACACACTGTGACATGTTGTTACATAGTGTTACACACTTACACACTGTGATATGTTGTTACATGGTTAATCACTGTGACATGTTGTTACATGGTGTTACACACCGTGACATGTTGTTACATAGTG